ATACCAGCATCTTCACTCAGTTCATAAACCTGATCTGATATAAAAGACTATTTCTCTGGCATATAGCCTGCATTAGCTTCTATCTTACAAGAGATAAAAGGAAAGAGAAGCGAGCAGAAAAGGAGAGACCTATCACCAACAAAGAAGACCTAGGAGTAGAATGTGTCCTCTGGGCCCAGGCTGCCTGTGCTGAGAACCTCCTAGACCCAGGAGGAGATTGATGCCAAGACACATGCTGATCTCAAAAAATCAGGCTCACAGATGTTGAAAGGAGACCAAGACCTTCTTCCAGACGGGACAGAGAGACAATCATCTCCTAGAGCCAGCAGTCAGAATTTGGACTTCTAACCTTTTAAACAGTGAAGGAATAAATTTCTGTTTGTTAAACCTATCCATTTGTGGTCTGTTAAAGCAACATTACATAATTTAAGGGAGCTCTGGTGGCGCAGTCTGTAATGTGCTACTAACTCAAAAGCACCTCTGTGCCTCAGCTGTTGGCTTCTCAGGAAAGAGATGGGCCATCTCCCCTATGTGGTTTGCAGCCTCAGAAAACTCACTAGAGGGTCAGCTATGAACCATTTCCAACTCAGTGGAAATAAGATATATAAGAGAGTATGACTCACAGTTGTCCTGTGAACAACAAATGCACTGTGTCCTCTCCTGCACCATCCTTATAATTTCTAACACACCAGAGCCCATTGCAGCAGCCACTGTGACATCCCGTCCCATTGAGGGTATTCCTCTCTTTTGCCGGTCCTCCACTTTTCCAAGCATGATATCCCTTTTCCAAGGAATAGCCTCTCTTAACAGCATGCCCAAAGTATGAGATGAAACTATCATCCTTGCCACCAAGGCACACACCCTGGCAGTACGTTCTCCAAGATCTATCTGTTTGTTCTTGTGGCAGTCTAGGGGATGGTCAGTACTCTTCTCCAACTCAACAGCTCAAAGGCATCAGTTCTTCTTCTGCCATCCTCGTTCATTGTCCAGCTGTCAGATGCATCAAAAAGTGATTGAAACAAGCATGGCCTGAATCAAGAGCACTTTAGGCAAGGACTTCTCTACTGATGTCAACTGTCTCTTAAGAGGTATTGTTGTGGGAGCTCTGGTCACCTAGTGTCAAAAAGCTGCACTGCAATTCCAAAGGCGGACAGTTCAAATCCACCAGATGCACTGCTGGAAAAGGAGGGCCAATTTCCTCCTGTGCCAGTCAGATCTGATTCGATGACATACAAGTTAAAAGGGGAAAAAAAAGGTCTTGTTTGCCATCGAGTCAGAACAGACCCATAACTGACCCTCTGGCAGGTTTTCAGAGGCAGAATCAATCCCATAGGAGGAGACTGCCATTCTTCAGAGCAGCTGGCAGATTTGAACTGTGAGCCTTTGGGATTGCAACACAGCTTTTTACCACTAGGCCACCAGAGCTCCCTTCTTTTAAAAGGTAGGATTGATTATCCCTACTTAATAGACTTAACTAAAGTGGTGGCCTAGTGGTAAGAAGCTATGCTGGAATCCCAAATGTGGTTCAAATCTACCAGCTGCTCTTTGGGAGTAAAGTGGACTGCACAGCGCGCAGCAACAACTTAACAGACAAGAAGGGAATGCAAATGACTTAGTTCTTAGGGAGGTGCACCGCTAACCAAAGGCCAGACCTGTCTGGAATTTCAAACACACCAACTGCACCTTGGGAAAGAAGGTAGGAGTAATGTCTTGTAAACCCAGTGGAAGGACAGCCAGCTAGGAGGAGGTTCCAACTCAATGTAACCAAGGAGAGAAAAGACAAGGAAGTCAAGGATCAGGGAATTAAGTGTTTACAGAACTGGCTAGAGGCAGTGAGGGAGAGGGTCTGATTACAGTGCAGCTCTTAACCATACTTGTTGCCTCCCACAAACTAGTTTCCATGCTTATAAAATATTAGGAAAGCTGTTTGCTGCATTGATCACAAGGCTGTTTGGAAATGCCAATAATAGAAGAGGCAGTGCTTGGTTAGGGGTGTGTGTGTGTGTGTAGATGCTGTCCCCAGCCTGGGAAACCTGACTGTGGAGGGACTTGTCACACCTCCACCCCCATGTGCACATGCCCTCCCCCGCCTTGCTGCTGGCTGAGCTCATTTCTTCAAGACTCCGCTCAGCTCACACAGCCTGGATTTCATTCTAACAATGGAGGGATTAAAGCAGAAGTGGCACATCATTTTGAAATGATGACAAGGACTACCTTGTCATCTGACTGCCATGTCACTATGTAGTGATGGGTCAGAGTGGGCACAGGAATACCAGAGAGAAGGCGGCTACTGGGAGGCCTAAGCAGAGAGACCAGAGGAAATGGAGAGAAATTGTGGATTTGGGAAGATAGCTAGAAAATACAATCAACAGGAAATGGAGGTGTCTTGTAATGTGGGTAGTGTGGGAGAGGGGGTGCCAAGGATGACTCCTAGGTCCTGTGTTCCTCGTGGATGTTTGTTGAATGAATTATTGAGTGACCCCAATGGAGAAGCTTCTCTCACCCCATATCCCCAGTGCGGACTCCAGAGCTCCGAGCGCACAGAGGACGGGAGTGACAGAGAGGGAGAGGATTGGCTGTCTTTGCACCAGAGCTGCTAGATCTGAGCCAGGAGTCCAGTGAGGAGGGCAAAAGCTTTCCCTGCGGCCCTGCACCCACCAGCCGGGAGGTGCAGCGCCCAGTTAGGCCCGTGAAGGAGCTGGCTCCTTGCCTGCCTCTGGGGGGTGCGGCGCAGCAGCACCCCCTCCAGGCTTGTCCCGCTCGTCCAGGCGCCCACTCCGCCCAGTGCACTGGAAGACTGGGCGTCGGCTCTGTCCAGTCCCGGAACCAGACACGGGGTTGTGGGTGAGTCCTGGAGCCCCGGGGATTCTCCTCCACTGCACACCTGCCGGGATGGGGTACCAGGTCGGGTTCGCTCCAGCTCTAAGGCAGGTCCCCGTCTCCTTTCACAGCGTGCGCCTCCTGAGGTTCACCCTGCGGGCCGGGGTGCGGGGTGCGGGGTGCGGGAGGCAGGGAGTTGAGCGCCGCAAGTGTGCGTGAGCCCAGCGCCCGCGGGTGCGCAGCGCAGCGGGTCTGGGGCGCAGGCGGGGGTCGCACGGCCCCGGGCGAGGGTGAGGGCAAGGAGGATGCCGGCGGGAACTTGGCCCGCGCGCCCC